AAAGAGTAATTTTTGTAAGTCACCTGATTCTATGATTTCGACGAATATTAATCTTTTTAAGTAAATATAAAAAAAATTAAACAAAAAATAACAATTTTAACACTCTAAGCGTTAGTAATACAATTAAATAGTAGTTAGAAATATATAATTATAAGATCGTGCAGTTAATGTTAGAGGAAAAAAGAAAGGAAAGTGAACTCTAACGAGCTTCGCCGAAACTTGAACGTAAATTGAATCACATGTAAAAGAGATCGTTATCGGAAATGGCTCGCTCGATGGAACCAAGCAAATTCAATTCCGACGCTCCATAACTGTACACGTTATTGCAAAATAATGGGATATATTTTAAAAGGTCATGTTATTCATATGAGTTATTTGAAACGTTGAGATTGTTGCATTTTTGACAGTTAAATTGAAAAATAAATATTTAAATTATAGGCTACAAAAAATTCCATAATACCTTTTTACACAATTTTATGGTGTCATTTTCTTTTACTAATTATAAATATGAATGTTTTGATGTATGTAGAAATATATGTATGGATGGATTGAAGGATTTTTGTTTTTTTTTATATCACAAGGTGGCAAACGAGCGAGCGGCCACCTGAAATCGCTAAAACAGCGAAGTGACCGTTGCCCATAGACATACGCAATTGCATATGCGTTGCCTACCTTTAATCGACGGAGGAGAGGATGCACAGAAAGAAAATATTTTCCCTTTCCATCCATCCTTGCATCCTATCATCCGGAAAGTCCACTTCTACTTCCCATTCTTTCCGTACAAGAAAAAGGGTGGGAAGGGAAAGAGGACTAAATAAGGCCTTCGGGACGCACACTCATCAGACGCAACGCGGAATTGCTTCCACTTCACGCCTGTCTTCTGTATGGTCGTGGTATTTCACCGGGCGAGCCAGGCCAATTCGTGCGAATATGTTAAAGCGGACTCTACCACTGTTAAAATTATCACATAAATTTTTCAAATATAAAACATGAAATGAGATACTAACCTGATCATTATTCATTACTTACAAACTAAAATTACGAGTGTTTGTAAGCCTTCATTGCGGCGTAACCCTGCAATTAACTTAGGTCATAAGTCACATGGAAAGTGCTTCATTAAAATGATGTATGTTGGTTTAGGAGCTCGGACTTGTAATTTGACCGAGGTATTCAAGGGTTCTTGGTCAGTATATTATTATTTATTATAGATTTATATATGGTAAAATAATTTATGACAATAAGTAAAGGGTTAAATGTAATTTAATATATAATTTAAAAAAAAAAGATTAATAACATTCTGCCATTAAAGACACTTAAAATTTAAGAACCGTTGTAATAATTTTAAAAATGTAATTTAAAAAAAATGGTTAACACCCAAAATTTTTGCCAACTAGTGTACGTCACATATTAATTTGTGCTCTTAACGCAACTTCTTAATTACATTATACTAACTGTCGCCTCCGACTCCGTCAGCGCGGAATTAAGAAAAAACTATTGGTCGCAGCGTAATGTTATATAGCCTAAAGCCTTCCATCTCTATATGGACGATCAAACAAAAAATATTTTTTTTTTAAATCGGACCAGTAGTTCCTGAGAGTAGTGCGTTTAAACAAACTTCCGCTTTATATAGAAATTTTAGTATAGAGTATGCATAAAATAGTTTTCGAAGATTGAACTAAAATCATCTTAAAAAAATGTTGTGACCAAAACCATCTATTCTCCAAATCGTATTATACAAGACATTTAGAGCTAGATAAAGAAAATAACATCGTTAAAAGCTCACGTATTTGTCAATACTGACATTCTCAGTCAACTTTATCCCAATTATAATTCCCCTAAGGAACATTAACTATTATTGAAAATATATAAATCCATACATCTTAACTTTGAATCAATCTGAAATATTGAAGACATCTCATCATATTTTTTTATAATGAAAAATATTAGCGGTTTTTTTGTAAATTTACTAATATTTATTTTACCATTCTACTAATCTCAAGGCTTGAGCTAGGTGTTGGTTTACGACAATAGTCCAATGGCGGGATTCGAACCCCCGATTTAGTGATCGGAAATCCGTACCCTTAACCATTGGGCTATTGACTCTTATTAAATATTATATTATAAACCATTTTCGTTACGGAAGATCTGACAGGAAAATGTCAGAATAAATCTTTTCATCTTAAACTCAGTAACAATTGAAACAAAAGTAAATTATGATCTAACCGGAGGGGAAATATGAAAAATGGTGGATTAACTCATTCTCATTACGTTACACTTTTAGCCAAAAACTCGAATTCAGAATTGCTCTGATTGTGCAATTTTACTTTATGAAATGTTTTATGTTATATGCCTTGGGGGTTACTAGAAAACATAATTAGAGATTACGATGAAAAAAGAGAGGAGGGGTTATACGGAAAAGTAAACGACAAAGCAACATTTTATTTATAACGCATTTTCAACTTAAACTCAAAATCTATTAAACTTCTAGTCAATTTAAAAATTAACAAAAAAATGGGACCCACCTGCAAGAAAAACCTTTCGATCAAAAAGAAATCTAAATAGGAGCACCAGGGGCAGTTACACGGTAATATACATAAAAAAAACATATAGACCAATTGATAACCTCCTTCTTTTTGAAGTCGGCTAAAAACATATATAACCGAACCGACCTCTAGTCTAGTCGTAGGATCGAATCCCGTCTGACAATTCTATTAATATTAACTATTTTCTTAAAATAATCTTCTGATATTCTTTTTTATTATTTATTTATAAAAAATGTAAAACTCTGTGCTTTCAAAGGTGAAAATGTAATTAAGTAAAAGCGAATGATTTCGTATTCATAAAATTTAATGTTAACTCTAGTCATAAATAAATTTTTCAAGCAAATAGAAATAAAATATTAGAGCAAATTTTACCTCTTTTATCTATTTCGCAGACATTTTGAATAGAAATAATACCTTGTTTCTACAATTAGTCCTTTACAATAATGAATAAATAATAGATTTTAGCTTAAAATTGGATCATTTTACTAAACAAGCAAAATACAGAGAGCAGTTTCAAGAATTGAAAGCTTCTTAATTAACGACTTATTTTAGAACACGCTGTATATTTTTGTGTTCTTTAATAAAACATTTTCCGTTAAGCATTTCAAGGTGCAACGTTTGTAATTACGTGTAAAGTGGCTTGTCGCTCTCCTGCGACAGATGTTTTGCCCGAGGCTCGCAATGAGAGGTATGCAGACGATATTTGCGCACACCCTTTAACCGCAGCCTGTACTAGGATACAAGTCGGAATGAAGAGTGCATAAATTAACATATCAAATGCGACTATCTGGTCTCCCCACGATGCTATAGAAGCCATTTTGTTTTTTTTTTATTTTTTATTCAAAAAGTGGTTCCCCCCCTGTTTTGCCAAAAATAATGACAATACGTATTAATAAAATTGTCACGATAGTGGAAATCGAATCTAACTAATATTAGCAATGCTAATGTTTGGATGGATGGATGTTTGTTAGAAGATATCTCCAGAACAGCTGCATCAATCTCTCTGAAATATGCATAGATGTACAACCTAGCCTGGAAGAACACAGAGTCTACGAATTAAATTTTTCTTTAATTCTACGAAAACGGAGTCGCGACAGTTATGTACATTGTTATCACTGTTTTGACAAAATAATTACGATATATTGTATACTGATATTTTGGTCTCTAAAATCCACGGAAATTGACTATAGTACATGTAAATGTAAAAGAAAGAAACAAAGATATAACACCAACACGTCAAATAGAAATCTATAAGATTTGTAACTTATGTACGTATATTTAGGAATGTGCTTTGACACTTGTATTTATTATTGTAATAGCATTTTTCCTCTTTACACTATCAAATTCCTAGTTTCACAAATGTTTAGTCAGACTAAACTGATATATAAACACGGATAAATACTCACGTATATTCGTCCGGTGGCGGCACCGACTAGTTTCGAGCCCATCGGGGGCCCTTCATCAGGATGAGTGGTACTGGTATTTTTTCGCGAACAGAGAGCGACGGGCCCGAAATAATACCAGTACCACTCATCCTGGTGAAGGGCCCCCGATGGGCTCGAAACAAGTCGGTACCGCCACCGGACGTATGTACGTGAGTGTTTAGCCGTTTTTATATCAGTTTAGTATAATGTCTTACGAAAGTTTGAATAGTTTAGTCAGACTAGTAACTAAGTAAGGATGTTTTCAGTGTATTTTTATGTAGTATAGTTTTGTTACATGCATTGAAAATGTTCGTGTAAATATTTCTTTGCATGTAGACCTTTTTGAGATTGTATCCGCAGTATCGATCGTGGAATAGAAATATGAAGTGAGCTGATAGACATTTATGATGCCTGCAAATATGACAACTCTCTAGAGATATGCTTTGCTCCGTGCAAATGATATTCGGATACAGATACGGATTTCTCGCTGCAGTATTCTCATATCTTAAAAAGCGTCGGTGGCTCAGGGGTTAAGCATTTGTAATCTGCAGGTCCTTGGTTCGAATCCCGCTATGTACTTATGTGTTTTCCGATTTATTTATGTACATTTATACGACGTTCTAACGGTGAAGGAAAACATCATGATGCAACCTCTACATGTCAGCGAAAAAATTCAAAGATATGTGAGAAAACCCGCACTGAACCAGCATGATTGACTATGGCTTAGTTATCACATAGGGTAGGCTACGAGCCCCTCGAAGGAGACGTATAGTAAGCTGATGATGATGAGTTTTATGATTTCAACGGTTGATATTAGCGTTAAATATAAATACTATTATTGCAATACTTATTTATTGTAATTGCAATCATAATAAATATTTAATTTTGTTACCTTAATTATAAAATTGTTTTAATATTCCAATTTTAAAATTAATTGAGAATCTAAACGTTTTTTCGTTTAATAATTAATGTAAATTACTTTAACTTTGATAATAAAACAAATTAAATTTTAATTACAAATATCTTCTTCCAGGTAGTCATAAATCAACAGAGGAAATTCAACGTAAGTATAATTATATTGTTACCACGAAGTATTTATTAAGTAGAATAGAATTTTGGAGCACTAAAGGAAACGCCACACGAGCGTCGCCGCGTAAACGAATGCGGAATGTGGCTTTAGTGTGAAGAAGGAGAAAGGAGGAACATCCATCTACCCATCTATCTAAGCATTAGCACTTAGAATTTTAGTAACATTTTATTTTTAACTAGGAATTTATCGAATAAAATTTTATATATGTATGTAAGCTGAATTATATGCTTTCATAATTCAAGCTATGACCAATCAGTCTCTGAGATGTCGTCAGTAACTCGAGTATTGTCAAAATACTAATCATTTAACATGAAATTAAAATCATAGCTCTTTTTCACTGTTTTAAAAACTCTATTTTACAAAACATCGGTTTGTAAAGTTTACAATGTTTGTTTTACAAAAATTTTTAGTATCATTTTACAGCGTATTTATCAAGATTTTACTGCAATTTAGAATTGCAATTGTTGTTCATTTGTTAATATTCATCCTTAAAAGCATTGAATGCTTGGAGTAAGCTAAGCTGTTTATTTTATTCCAAGTTTGAACTCTTAGTACGATGACTTAACTTTACCGACGTTCCTCTATAAACTACTTCTAATTATGTAATTTAAAATAGAGCGTTAGTTTGTTTTTTACGTTTTGCAAGTTCCATTTTCTGCATCAACTTATCTTTTGTGTCGGTTCCCATTTCTTGTAATTGTTATAAAATGTGTTAAATAAAAAAAGTTACTATGAAGAAAAATCTATTTTTAAAGTCAACTTGATATTTGAATGGCATCAACTTGTCCTTGCCTTCTTAAATTGATTGTGGACTTTGTAAGTAAAGTAGATCAGGGTTGCCGAACAATTGGCAACCTTACAAAAGCTTCATAACGAAGTACTCCATAATTCGATCCTTTACAATAAATTATTTTCTACCACGGAAAGGCATTATCACGTGATAAATATAAAATGTTTGTCACCTCGTAAATGTTGTGAAGTAATATGGACTTTGTCACGAACTTTGTCACCTCTAGTAACTTCCTTCTACTCAAAATATAAATACGTTTAGCTAGAAGACCTAAATTAAGCAATCATTTATTGAATCTAGATCATCGCTTGCAGAATAATTGGGGAAAATTCTACTTTCGTAGGGTCTTAAATTGCGCATGAACCTCACTATGAAAGCCGGACATTTAGTAATGTTAATATTCTGGATAGCCCTTCAGTGTATACATAACATTAAACGTCAAAAGTAATACAGGTTTAAGCTTTTAATCATACTCGGTACTAAATCGATAGAGCGACGAACGAATAGCTGACAAATTGCTCTGCCTCGCTCAATCGGCGATGGCGAGGCAACCGAGATTAGCCCACTCGCAGTCGCCCCATTCTGATGCCGGGTTTGTAGATAAATTTCTTTATATCACCAATCGGATTCAGATGCGGACAAGTGTGAAGTTGCCTAAGGAACTGATTCGACATTAAAATGCTTCAGATGAACGCAAACTTTGTCTACAGGTAAGTAGCATACTGGTAACAAGTCGCACGCAGCACCTTGTCAATTTACTCGCGTTGTTTGTCTTGGAGCGTAGTTTGAGGAATGTTCAAACCGTATTTGCTCACATACCCGAGCGCCGAGGGCGATATTTGTGCGTCGAGAACAGACGTGAAGTTTAAATTATATTAGCTATATAAATAGAACTGAATTGTCTAAAATATACGATACATTTTAACAAATTCAAATTCTTCACAATCGTCTTTGTTTCGTCTTTACTAAACTAGCGTAATTTATTTTTTACATTATCGTCATTTGTTTTGACCAGTGTTATAAAATATTTGTTAAAAGAGTTTTTATATTCATGCGAAGTATAAAAAATAGATTCTTTCATGTAACAATATGTGATGACGTAAATCAATCTTACAGCGTACATCAGGTTTTCAAAATTGGCTCATAAATTACCTGAGCTAGGGTCGAATTAAAAAAAAAACTTGGAAGCGATTAATCATACAGATATTGATGCGTTTATCCGCGAAGTGCCGTCATCTGGAAGTTATAAAGTGCTGAAATACATCTGAATCGGCGAAAACCTCGATATCATTTCCTGTGATTTGTGAACTAATTCTATCTACCATTGAATAAGGATACTTACCGTTATTTGAATCAAATATACAGGATGATTTACCTAAATTTGTTGAGAACTCAATAGTGTAGTTAACTAGTGTGATTAAATATTTAGTGTAGCAATTTAAATAGTTAATATTTAAGTGCTATCTTATCTTACTAATATCTTAATATATATAATTCTTCTGTGAGTTTGTATGTCACTGAACTTCTCTCAAACGACTGGACCGATTTTGATGAATTTTTTTGTGTGTGTTCAAGGGGATCTGGGAATGGTTTAGATTGACAATTTTGTCCGCTGGACAATGTTTTTTTAATTACTTTTTAATTTATTAGTAGGTGTTGATTTTGGAATGTTTTACATTGGATCCGACAGACGGCGCTACCATCGCAGTGTCAATTTTTCAAATTAAAGACGTGTAGACAGGACAACGTCTGTCGGGTCCGCTAGTTATATTATAAATGCGAATGTTTGGATAGATGGATGGATGTTTGTTGGAAAATATCTCCGTAATGGCAGAATTTTGATGAAATGTTGCAAACATGTGGAACATAGTCTGAAAAAACACATAGGCAACTTTTTTTTTTTTTATCTCCGCGCGGACGGAGTCGGGGCGACAGCTTGTATTTTTATATGTATACAAATGCAGTATATATGATGAACAAATAATAAAGTCGTTGTAATGAGGCTGTTTATTTACTTTATCTTTATTTCAAGTTACATAAATTAGTCATCCATTTCATGACTGAATTTGAAAGTGAACTTTTTCCTTTTTTTTTCAATCAAAGAAACTTAAATTTCCATGACATAAATTGAAATATTATTAAGTGTTCTATAATTTCATGTAAAATGCATATACAGTAAACCACTTTTTATGCAATAACTCAATGCGCCATTCAAAATAGCAACCGCAGTGTAGCAGCCAATTGCGTCATTACGATGTTGAATCTGACTGACTTTTATATTTGCCAGAGTGTGTATTTGTCTATAGTATTTTACATAATAACCACAGGTTTTGTATAAGCTTTTAAGTGGTTAATCATGATTTAAAACCGTATTATTTAACAATTTTTTTTGTTGAAATTTACTAATATACCTTTACCATTCCAACTAAGCTCTTGGCTCGTGCTAGGATATGGTTTACGACAATAGTCGAATCGCGGGATTCGAACCCCCGACCTCGTGATCGGAAATCCGTACCCTTAACCATTAGGCTATTGACGCTTAAACAGTTAATGTTTGTATATCAAATTATTCAAACTTTCGTGAGACATTATACTAAACTGATATATAAACACGGCTAAACACTCACGTATATTCATCCGGTGGCGGCACCGACTAGTTTCGAGCCCATCGGGGGCCTTTCATCAGGATGAGTGGTACTGGTATTATTTCGCGGACGCGGCCCGTCGCTCACTGACTGTTTGTATATCGTTAAATATTGTCTCGTGTGTCCGTTACATATTACACCACTCAAAATTATAATTTAAAAATATATGATCGTAAATATTCACGTTTAAAAGAAAAAAAATGCAATAAGACCAGTCATTTTAAATCATACAAATAGTATCTCGGATGTCGATCCAAATATCCAATAAACTATGGAATATATGAATAAAATATTCAATGTATTTACAATTTTAATAAACAATATATATAATAATATCGGCGTAACAGGGGACCGAAGAGCTGGCAGCTACCTCGGACAAAGAATTAGTATAGCTATTCAAAGGGGGAACGCTGCCAGTATCTTCGGAACCTTGCCTAAGCCTAAAGGGACTTTTTTTTAATAATATGTTTTAGTTATTTATTCGTTTTTAATATTTTATTTAATATCATAGATTTAAGAATTTTCATGTAAAAATATAAATTTATAAGTAAATTTAAATGATTAACAACACTACTTACAGCATCATTTAATCTGGCATTCAAGATCTGTGCTTACATCGTCTTCGGTTCTAATCAACAATGGATGTTGCATTTAATCTATTCTAAATTGAGGAAGCTTCTGTTTACACTGTTTGCAATTTCCACGTGCGGCGTGTCGTTCGCTTGTGCAAATGTTTGCCGCGACATTCGAATCAAGACGAGTAGGTAATTTCAAATGTAAGTATTTAATACGTTCTCAAGTACTAAGCATATCAAAACATGGATTATGGTCGGAATTATTTTATTTTATACGGTATTAGCAGTCGCCCGCGACTCCGTCCGCGTAGATATATAAAGAAACTTAATTTGTGTAGCCTATGTCTTCCGTAATTTAATAGAGATCCGTTCAGCCGTTCTAGAGATATCTTCAAACACCCACCCACATCTCATCCGTCTAAACATTCGCATTAATAATATTAGTAAGTTAAATAAAAAGCAACTCTTCAAGGCATAAATTCTAGAAAAAAATGAATAAATAGTGTCCTATGTCCGTCTCCTGGCTCTAAGCTTCCTCCTTACCAATTTTCAAGCATATCAGTAAAGCCTTTCTTGAGTTATACATAGTGTAACTAACACGACTTTCTTTTATTTATATAGATATCAATCTGTAAATGCTTTACTGTAATTAAGATTGTTTGAATATAAAAGAAACGTCTGACAAACACAAGTATACGAATATTATAAAGATGAAAAATATGTGAGAGAACCCAGCCAAGTAGAGGTCCGTGGTCTCTGCGTACCCTACTGGGATACGAGCGTGAGTTATGTTTTTATTTTAAAATATATATTTTACATGTAACTAGTAAACTCAAAAACTACTAGACTGTTTTAAAAATTATTTTTTCACTAAAAAGGTACATTATCACTTTAGTAACGAAAAATATATTATTGCTAGATTTTTTTTAGCTAAATGAAGTCAAAAACAATATGACTAACTAT